ATTGAGTAAAACGCAACCTTTTCCAAACAAAATACACAACGACTGAACCAATCCGTGCAGAAATCTTTTTTTTAAAGGATTCATTTAAATTAGACACATTTTCTGCATAACACGCTTGAAGCTCCTGTATTGTAAACAATTGTAAACAATATTGAATAGTGATGAAAGAAAAGTAGATACAGGCTATCTCGTGGGAAAAGCGTAACAACTTTTTTGTGGACTTTTTAGCGATGTTTTGGCTTTAGATTCGCTCTTCAGCACCACGGAGAGTTTCTGCTGTAGATACGCAGCTTCAGCCTGTTTTCAGGCTATTTGAGCGCAAATTCTGAGATTTCATGGATTTGAAGACAATAAAAAAGTGTTTGCCAAGTGGTTTATTACATAATATTCCAAGTTACACAAATCCTAACTTGTGAAATGAAGCTGAATGGCGATGGTTTGAAATTTCTAAACCACTTACCGCCACCGTTTTGATAACACACGTACGGAAATCTCCAAACATTTCCCAGGTCCACCGCAAAACCAATGACAGACAAGAGAAAATCCATTTTTTTGCTCCATTTGTCCCTGGAGTCCGTCTGTGTGATGACCGGCACCGGGGCCGCGTTGTTAGAGCTGTAGCCGGGATTAGGGGAGCCTTGGCGGGTCAGACTGCCGGCCATGACTGCTGAGTCCTGTCGGGGCATCGGACTGTGAAAAGTCAGTCAGAGGAGCAGCTCCAGAGAGAGCGGGATATCTCTCCTGTGATTATGACAGGGGGGAGTGGGAGGAGTTGGTGGAGCTGCAGCTGACGCTTGGAGTACCTGTTGTGTCTTTTTACTGACAGCAGCCTTGAACATACTTGAACAACCAAAAAATGTGACGTTGGCTTAGAGGTCCCATGTGTTATTGCTGATCAATAAGATGGATTTGAGTAAGTTAACCTGTAGGAGAGCAGCTTTGCCCACTCAATTGATGTGCTTTTAGCAAATTGAACAGCAACAGGGTGTCCAGTGAAATAATGCTGGTGTTGATGGTTATAAGGATGGTTATCTTTCAATGGCATTGATGTGACAGGCAGAGTTCACCATGGTCACCTTGTGCTAAAATCAACTTTATTGTTGCAACTCACATACATGCACAGGATGCACCAGATTATTGAATTGGGCTTTCCAGTATTTAACAAGAGGCTTTGAATGTATCATTGTTGATGACGTTTCAGGGCCTTTTAACTGGTAAATGACATATTTGTAGTCAATTCTGATATTCCAACAATATATGAAAAATAGTGACCAATGTTTTGTTCAAGTTTCTACATGCTGCCAAACTTTTAAATGCTCAGATGGATTTTCAAAATACAATTGTTAATTTATGATAAAACATAATACAGTTTTTCTCTATCACTTTGGCAAATTAAAAAATATAAAACATAATAATAGATAAAGGTCCTGTTCAGTCCACTTGAACTTACAAAAGTTTGACACAGAGATCTTTAAATAGCACCTTGAGCCATCTTGGCTGCATGTTAATATAGTTTGGGGAATACATCAGAAGAGAAACACAGCAGCTTAACTGCACTCATTAGGAAAAACCTAATAACAAGACTTTGTAATCAAATCCACAGCTTTTAGCACTGAGCACTTTGAAAAGGCTGCAAACTGGATAATCAGAGACCAGCCATCAGGCGGGAGAGAGAGAGTGCATCAAATGAAGTTACTTTGGGAAATGGATATGACACAAAGACAGGAGGAGCCAGCGCCATCATAAAATTGTCACTTACGATAAAAGCCAAACTGTCTGACCTGGTGTTAACATTTACCTGAAGCTAGTAAATGGTAAAATGTAGTTAATTCAATAATTTTCTGCTATAATGTGGATCGATGAAGAAGCAAAAGCCCAGCGTGCAGAATGGATGGCTGGATAGATAGATAGATAGATAGATAGATAGA